GCATTTGAATGGCCAGGAGAAGGGGTGGGGGATGAGTAGGGAAAGGCTGGGCATTCTTGACCAAATGCCCCGCATACCCGATTTAAATTTCACAGCAGCTCGCTGAGGTAGAGGTCTTGGTTGACCAGGAAGATCAGCGACACCTAAGTCAGCTAGGAGCAAGCTGAGCTGGGGTTCCCCTAGCTTGGGCTCTCCCCTTTGAGCCAGAGATGCCCAGTCGGAGGCGGGGAGCTGGATGTCCCAGCGGAGGTCATCTGTAGCTGTGAGTCCCAGCTGGGCCCTGGCCTGGCATCTTCTGGCAGTTGCTGAAGTGCAGGCTGAGGGAGTCGCCACCGCCGGAAGCATCCTGACACCGCGAGTGATCCTTGTGAGCGAGCATGAGAGCTTGATGCCCGGGAGGCGAGGGTCTCGGGAGGTGTGGCAGTTTGGAGTGTGTGTGTTGTGTGTTGGTGACGTGTGCGTGTATACGTATGGCTGGCAGACAGATCTTGCTGCTTAGAGAATACTTTTCTGAAAAGGGACAAAAGTATCGGGCCAATTGCTCTAGGGGAAGTGAGGAGTGAGGAGCAAGCCGGGAGCAGGGGCAGGCTTTTTTCCCTAGCTCCCAAGTTTCCTGGGGATGAGAACTCCCAAGGTGAGCTCTCCAAGGAGGGCCTCACTCCAACCCAGGACCCCTTCAGTTCTGTCCTCACTGGTAGGGTCCTGGAGGAGGCGGGAATGCATGCAACTCCAGGGTCAGTGTCGCCAAATCAAATACTCTCTTTTCCAAAGCGCCTGGGCCTGGCTGTGTGGTACAGGCTTCGATGCACTGAGTCAGAATGTCACTGGAGCCCTCCCAAGGGGCTTCCTGAGCCTGGCTGCGGTGGGCACAGGGGACTCAGGTGAAATCAGAATGGGGGTTCACTTAGGAGGGTAGTGTCAGCGCGGCATGGTTCTCTGAGCGGGGCAACTGTTCTAGAGGCAAGCCCTCCACGAGTGACCCCATCTAGGGGACAGCACTTGCTTCCCTAGGGTCACAGTCCAGCGCCTGAGACTCCCCGCCCCCAGCAATAAAGCACGTTTTATCATCATTTTCGACCCTCACACGGACACGGCCAAGGATTGCTATTACCTCTTACACAGGAGCAGGGGCCAACTGCAGATAAGGAGGTGGGAGCCAGGGACTGGGTCCCAGGCCAGTTCCTCACTCGGCCTCTGCCTCATCTCAGCAGTGTCTGGAAAGGAGAGCCTCTGGGAACCGAGAGCAGGATCTGAAATGGGGACCCGCACATCAGGGCCTCTCTGCTCAGATACAGAAAACGACCTCATGCCAGAGAGGGGTGACCTCAGCCTCCATGGCTCTTCCCGGGCCAGGCCTCCCACTGAATACACAGGCGTCACACTGCCTGCCATACCCCTCCCCTCTGATGCCAGTGGCTGAGCTGCCCCCACATTCCAGTCCCCGGACTCCCCCTGGGATGACCCACTGCCTCCCCAAGTCAGCATGGCTCCCCACGATCCTCAGCCGGTGGGCAGCCTCCCCGCTCACATGGACTCTGAGCAAGGGAAGTCTTCAGAGCTTTTTCCCTCCAACTTCCCCCATATGACAGGGAGACGGAGGCCGAGGGAGGAAGGGTCTGGGGTGAGACTTAGACACAGCTGTGCTGAGTGCTCCTCCACCCAGCAGGACGCTGGCTACTTCTCTCCCCGCACTGCTCACGAGCACAGAGTCACCTACTCCCCTTGGGAATGAGTCACAAACTGACCTCCTCTTGTATCCTCACCATTGCCACTGTCCACATGACATGTCCCCCTGATTATTGGGACCGCCTCCTAATTGGCAGCAGGCCCCATTCTGCCCCGGGTCTCCAGGGCCCTTCGCATTCTGCACACCCCATCTTATCCACACTCTCCACCTCCTCGGTGCCGCAGCCAGCAGGCCCTCCTTGCTCACATGTGCCCAGTTCCGGGCTCGGCATGGTGGAACACAGACCCAAACGTCGCTCGCCTCTGCCCCCCAGAAGCTTTTTTTGGTTGGAAGTTGGGATAAACACGCAAATGAGGCAGAGAAGGATCAGTCACAGGGCTACCAAAAGTGGGGAAGGCTTTCTGAATTCCGGGGACTGGAGGAAAGAAGCCTCTTGGCTTGCCCACTTTTTCCTCCCACCAGGTGTACCCGTGCAGGCCCCAAACTCAGTGTCACAACAGCCTCCATGCTGCCCCGTGCTGCCAGCAGGCACCTCTTGCTCAGCCCACCCTCAGAACCCATTCAGCTCAAGATACACAGTGATGGGTGGGTGATCCTGTGACATGCTGCTGGGCTGTGCAAGTCCAAGAATTATAACCTCGGATTAAAAGGATTTTGCAAGCCCAGCAGGTGGTGTGGTGTTGGGGCCACTGGACTCCCACATGGTCAGCTGTGGTTCAAGTCCTGGACCTGGGAGCCTACTTTCTCTCTCTTGCACGTGCCCTGTAGCAAATTTTTAAAACGATAATAAAATAAAATAAAATAATAAAGGCTTCTGCGGCTGGTTCCATCTCTCCAACCCCCATTTCCATCACTACAGCCACGTATGAGGGTTTTTCCTCTAACATCTACCCCTTTTCGCCTTGTGCCGAAACTGACTTGCCCCTCCATTGCTGCCTGATGAAATCTTTAATACCCAACTGGAATGCCTCCTCAATGCTGCCTTTCCCCGTTTTCCTTCAGCCATCTCCGGTTTCCTATGCATGTCTATTTATACATCCATAGGAACCCAGCCTTGGCTCCTCTGTAGCATCTCCGACTGGAACGCGAGCCCCTGGAGGGTAGCGCGAGCATCTCATCCTGCACGCGGTGGGCCAGCGGCAGGTGCGGCAGCAATGCCTCACCCCGGGTAGGTGCTCGGACGAGTGCCCGTCGCCCTGCTCGCAGGGCTTCCCGCCAGCATCCTGCTTTTCAGGTGCCTAGCAGAGGGGGCCGGACACGGTTAGACACACGGCCGGGGAGTCTAGACATTCCAGCCAGTCGCCGGGCGCCCTTACCCGCCTCTCTACCCAGTTCCAAATGGGTCGTGTGTGAAGGAAGTTGGCGCCAGGTACCCGGCTAGCTCCTCCTCCGCGTCCACCCTGCGGACCTCCGCGTCCCAGAAGGCCTCCCTCCAGTCCGAGGGCCTCAAGAAACTCGAGGCGGCGGCGCGGGAGACACAGGGGCCTCTGCCACGGATGCACCTCCCACTCGCGGCTAGTTTCATTTATTTATTTTTATGTTTTTGGAGGGAGGGGGCGTTCAATGAAGGGGAAGAGGCGGGGCGAAGGGAGGAGGCGGGCCCAGGGTGACTGACGCGAGCGCCGGGGAGCCAATGGCCTGCGGGGGGCGTTCCCCCCCATTCAGGACTCCTCGCCTGGCTCGGAAGGTATGTTAAACAGCTGCTTTTAATTTGGTCCCCCCAATCTCCGGCG